CTATGGTTGGTTCTTAAAGCACGATCGGAGAAGGGGTTTTCTTTGTTCTCAAGCCAGATGAGCTAACTAGTAAAAGCTTTCCTCACGAGAAAATTCTAAAATTCTAAATTTTTTTTTTTTAATAATAAAAATCGAATGAAAAGATATTTCTATCCTCTATGATTCATATTATTTATAATTAAACATATCCAACGAAAACTATTCTTAAAATCAGACCGAAACGGTTTTAAATTTCTTTTCTAAACCGAGACGGTTTCTTTTCCAAACCTAATTCGACGGTTCACTTCTAATTAACTCCCGAAACTGCTTCTTCGACACCACTTCTTCTCCAATTTCGATTTCGAACTCTAACTTCTTTTTTTCTTTTCTCCGATTCATTCTCTTCGAATTTTTCTCTTCTCTTTCTCTTCGAATTTTCCTCTTCTCTTCCTCTCCATTCTTCGATATCCTCTTTACAATGCCGCCTAATACCATAAGTGGAAAATCCCCAAAGAAGGTCGAGAAGAGACCTCGGGATCCTCCTCCGGCGAAGGAAGCTCCGGCTGCGGCGATGACTTCTAAAGAAGGTGGGTCGAAGGCCGGTAAACGTAAAGCGGCCAAACAGCAAGGCCGGTAAAAGTAAAGCGGCCAAACAGCAAGAAGATAAGCACACCGGCTCTGTCAATGTCTGCGGCGGTTCTATCTCCTCCGCCGCGTGCACAATCGGAATCTTCTTCCTCTTCTCGGACTCGTGCGGCGGCGCGAAGTCCTCAGCATGCAGAGCAGCGGTCTCATTCTCAGTCTTCAAATCTTCGTCTAGGGTTTCCAGATCCGGCGGCTGTGCCACCTCCGCATCCATCTCTTCAGCCTCCGGCTCCGACCTCGGCTCCGGAAGGTTCAACGTCGCAAAGGATAATAGGATTTTTGTGAATATTTGTTATATATACTAGTTGTACTGTATTTGCTATTTATACTAGTTATACTAGTTAGTATGATAGTTTCATTTGTAGTAATGACTTGAATTTGGCATAATGACTTGAATTTGGAGAGTANNAACTTATGATTTGNTGAATTTGAGGTTGTTTAGGAGATAATAGGAGATAGTAGGAGTCGTAGTTGTTCTAGTTGTATCGGCTTTATCAGTAATACTAGTTGTTCCAATATTACTAGTATTACTAACAAAAACGGGACAACTAGCACAACTGAAGTCCCAGTATTCCTAGTAGGTTTAGTTATACTGATTTAAGTAGTAATACAGTAATATTGGAACAACTAGAACAACTACTTCCTATTTGTGCTAGTTGTTCCAATATTACTAGTAGTACTACTTAAATCTGTACAACTAGA